AACAAGTTATTTACATTATTAATATAGTTAATATCCTAATATTAAAATAAGAATATATAATATTATACTTTTTAAAACTATATATAATTGTATACTGGTTAAATATCTTACAATCACTAAACACAAATCACATCTTGTCTGATTAATTTCTAATAATACAATACTTCATCTTTATTTATACAATATATATAACATTTGGAATATACAATTACAATATCATATCATTACTTTTTTTTAATAAATTAATTATCTCTATTTACTAGCTATTTCTATATATATTAGATTACAACAGATTCAAAACAATCTTTAGTCTACTATAAACATTTTTAAACATTATTAACCTAATATTGATAATCAAGATAAATATACTCTTAATTTTAAAATTATTTAATTATTTCTATAAATTGCTATCTTCATTAAAGCTAATAGTAATACATTATGACCAAACACCATCCATTATCAGCTTCAACTTCTTGAACTTATTTTCTAATATTACATCAAATATACAACCTTTAAAAAACAACTTAGATAACTAAACCTATTATCTTGAATAACTTTGTATTTTAGACAATACTATATTTCTTAAATGGTTACATTTATCACCAAGAATTCTTCATTTACCTAAAGGCAGAAAACTAATTTGGTTTACTAAACTCAAAAATATTATTATAGAAAATCATTATCATTGTTCTCTCAAACTTTAATACTAATAGTAAGAAACTAATCCATTTGCATATAACATATATAATATTCCTAAAAAACATAAATTATGACTGACTATTTTTAATAATAAGAAAATTATTATAAACAAAATTTATAAACATCTTACAAATTCTAACTAAATATCAATTATATACTGGCAAACAGATATTAATATAAACAGTACTAATTAGTATCTATTTCAACAGATTAATCTTGTTCCTTGTTTAGGCTGTTAACTTAACTTATAATAAATAACTACAGCATGCACTATTAATATTTCATTTATTACATCTGCCAAATTTTTTGATAAAATTATTTCAAATTTAGTTAAAATAAATGCAAACTATCTAGATTTTCTCAACTCTGTTGCAATTAAATAGCCTTTTTTAAATTCTTTATCACTACTATTACCTTCTATTCCCATTCTAACTTCATCTTATTTGTAATTTTTAAAGCAAATAAAACAACTAACAAACTTAATCAAATAGCTTTTAATAACCTACTATATAATTTATTTAACTTATATACCAATAAATTAGTAATTAATATAAGTACAAATAATTGTACTATAAGTATCAGCTAGGTTTAAGTAGATTTTAATAATCAAATTATTTATAAATTTGCTACCAAATTTCATCTCTGACTATTTTCTTACAAGGCTGAACTTTTCTCTATTCTGTCTTCTATTTAAATTACCTTTTGAAATTTTACAATCAGCATCTATACAGGCTCCTAATCCATAATATTAAAATTTATCAAACTTAATTAATTATCTCTAAATTTTAATAAAGTTTTTAAATTTAACTTCTGGTCATTATGGTATATCTTACTAAATATTATCAAATCATACAAATTAAATATTATTTTTTATAAAATGCAAGCTTATTCAGACAACTTTTTTAACAATTTAGCAGACTTACTTACTAAGTAATATACAAATAAACTTTTATTATACTTTAACTATATGAATATTCACAACTCATATTATTCATTATTTTTTGAAACAGAAAAATTTTCTGCTAAACTTCTTACTAGATACTTTGTTAAAAGTATCTGTAAAGCTTACAATCTTGCATTATGGTTATCATAAAAATGAAATAATAAATAGACTTCATTAGTCCATCATATTGACTAGAATTTAATCTGACTATACTTTAACTATAATTAAAAATCTACCTACAACCTTACTAATTTTAAACTTAACTAATCCAAATTATTTAAAATTAAAATATTTCTTAATGAACTACCTACTCAATACCTTTATTATAAAATCTATTCTCTAAATTTTTAGAATGCTAATTGCTTTTACTGCAATTTAATTATATTATTATTACATTGTTGCACTTGTGCCAACTCTTTTTTGCTTGATAGTAATTTCTAATACAATAACTAATTGTATAAACTTAGCCAATTTAGACTTTCCTAACTATAAAATTAAAAACTGATTCAAAAAATTAAAGATTATTCAGCTTTCAAAGAAACTCCTCTTCATTCATCTCCATATTACCTAGAAATTACTATTAAAGATCTTATTTTTTATTTCTAATTAAAACTATTCAGAACCTAGAAGTTTTGTACAAGCTAGTATTAACAATTATGATTAATATTTTGTTTGAAATTAACAAACAAATCTATAAACAATTATGAAAACTCTATTGTATTAATTTTTCAAATTGGAAAAAATAACAACAAATAATATATACACACATCAATCAACAAACTTCATCTTCTTATAATAGAAATAATATATATACTCATTAAAATTATACATATTCTTGTTTCTGTGATTAATCTAACAAACTTCATTCATATACTTGAGCCTGTCTATTTATTGAACAGGGCTTTAGAAAAATTAGTATTTGGTCACTTTGTAGGTCAAGTATTACACAAGAAAATCATTCTAATGTTATATAAGAAACAAAAGAAAAGTTAGTGAATTATTTTAAAAATAAAAAAAGAACAACTTCTAACTTTATTTTAACTATAAATAATATTATCTAGATGAGTTTTTAACCATTCTAGTAGATTTAGGTCACAGATAAATTAGATTTATTTAATTGTCTGAGCTTTTATTCTTGTATGTAAATTTTCTTTTTATTTGTACTAGTATAAATAATAGAAATATATATACTGCATATATATTACTATTTTATAAATTACTTAATAAAAATATAAGCAAGACTTCATTTTAAAAAAAAAACACTAATTGTTATTAATAAAAATATATTATAATTATAAAGTTTTTAAAGCTGTTTACTTATTTAAAAAACCTTTAAATTTGTACTAAACCTATTAGAACCTTCTATATCTTATACTTAGCTAATCTAATATTACTTTTGTCTAAATTAGTACTTGCAGTCAAAACTAACTATTAAACTGCTATAATATTGTAAAGTTTATTCAAATCTTAGTTTTTATTTTTCTGAAGTCTTCTCTATTATTTTTTACTAATTACTACTCAAAACTAACAAAGCTTTTCAGACTACTAATACAAATAGTTTAGTATGCTAGTTTTAGATTTTTTTTATTAATTCTAATACATATATTTCTTTTATATATTTGTTGTTAGTTTATTTGCATATTTCTTTTAAAGGGTTTTTATAGTTTTTTATTAGTCTAATAGCATTTTTAAAAGTTTGTCTATCTTTTTATTTAGAATTTTTAAGTAGGTTTCTGACTTTTTAGTTTCTTAACTTTTTGTAACTAGTGACCTATATGACTATTATAATTGTATGTTCTAGCAATATATTTAAAAATTCTTTTATATATAAAATTCCAACACTTACTTAATGAAGATTTTTATAAGAGCTCCAGAAGTTGTTATAATTTGAAAATTTTTGTTAATAAATTTTTTTTCTTTTGAAGTAAGGTATGCTTTTAATATTCTAAAGATATCAAAGTTATGTTAATTAATAATATTAATAAGTAAGATCTTTTTTAAGTATTGAAGTAAACTATTGATATTTAGAAAACTGATTTTTACAAAAATTAAAATTATAGATATGAGAGATGTTTAAAGAGAAAAGATATTATTAATTAATGTAGAGTCAAATAAATGTGATATAAAAAAGATGAGATTTGTGATATTGAGGTTATTAATATTAAAGAAATCAGAATTTGTTAATAAATTAAGGATTGAATATTGTTAATATATTTTGATAAGAAGGTTATAGTATTAATAATAAGGTAATTTAGAAAGAAGTACATAATTTAATATTATATTGTTGTTTAAGTTTTTATGGAAATGCATTTTAGTAAGTATAGTATTAATGGAGATTTTAAAAGATTTATTAAACAGATTATTTTTTAAATATTAAAGAATCTTAAAAGTGTTTGATTAATAGTAAAGTTGGAAGATTATAGTAAATTAGAAAAATATTGTAACAAGAAAAATTCTTAAAGTTGGTAAAAAGTTGAAATTCAAGAATAGGTAATAGGTTTCTGCAAAGAAACTTACTGTTTTAAGCTCAGCTTACACAACTGCAAAAGATACTGTAGTCTTTTCTATACATTGGGCCTAATTATTATAATTCCTTTTTTTTGTATCAATAGGCTTTACTGCTTATCTACTTACATTATTCTTCTCTGAAAATGGCTTACTATTCGTAAAATACACTATAATTTCAGAGGTGACAGCTGTTTTAATATTATTTTTAGAAAGATTTATTAAAAAAAAGATTAAGTAATAATAGAATTAAAGAAATTAAGATAATTGATTTTTTTTGAAATAATGTATTTGAATTTCTTAATAATAAGAGATTCAGCTTGGAAATAGTAGTCTTTATTATATTTTTTTAGATAAAAAAGATAAAAAGCTTTGTATTACTTTGTTTAAATATTTTAAAATAGATAATATCTTTAACTAGAAAATAGATATTTGTAATTTGGTTTGTAGTTTTTTTAATAACTTGGTTATAGCTTAGATTGAAGATTTTATTATTTTGAGCTGCTGCTTGAAGAAAATCTTTAAAGTATTCATAGATGTAGTAGGTTTGATGATTAATATTATAATCAGTTTTGTTGATTTTCCTAAATTGTTTTTTAGCAAAATAACTAGTTCATAAAAAAATTTAATTAAAATTAAGATCTTAAATAAAGCTAAATGTTTATTATCTTTGTAAAAGATTGAGAAATTTAAGATAGAATGAGTTTATGCTGGTTGATTAAACTTGGTAGATGGACTTTATTTATTAGAAACAGAATTAGAAAATTTTTTAAAAGATTAATCAAAGTAATATATATAGAGATTTTGAAAATTATGCTCAGTATTAGATAAAATAACTGTACATTTGTGTTCATTAGAGTTTGCAAGTATAAATATAAAAAAGAGCAAGTTTTTTAACTAATAAAATATGCTCTTGAAGCTATATAATAGATTTAATAATACAGAATTAGAGTAGTAACTTTTTATGCTTTTCAGCATATTTAGTTGCAGTTTGATATTTAAGAAAATTAAGAACTTTGGTTTTAATAATGTTAAAAAAGTGATATTTATAAATTTCAAAGAATTTATCAAACCAATTTTTAAGAATTACTTTATGTAGTTTAAGAAAAGATATTTGAAAAAAGATTTTAAATTTTTCTGTTAATATTAAAAGAAATATTAATATTTAATTTTTTATCATTTTGTATTTAAAAGAAGCCTTATATCTAATATTATAATATAAGATGAAATAAAGTAGTTGGATATTTAAATTTTCTGCAAATTATTTTATATAAATAGATTGTAAGTAGGATTAAAATAAAGGTGTAAACATGCAAGATTAATAGCAACTTGAAGTCAATTTTAAAATATATATAGTGAAAAACTATAATAAGATTAAAGAAATTTTTATAGTTAAGTTTTGTAAAGAATATAGTAAAAAATTTAAAAAGCATAAGTTTTAAGATATTAATTAAAATTTTTATAGAAATTGAAATATAAGTATTAATTGATAACTTAGTTTTATAAACTAAGTCTACCAAGAATTTAGGTTTTTATTTAATCATATTTATTAATAAGTAATTAAAAGAGTATTTAAAATTAAATTTAATATCTGGATTTTTAAAAAGAATAATTTTCTAAATACAAATAAAATTAAATTAGATTTAAAAAAATCAAATAATTATTGAGAAAGCAGGGTATTAATTTTTAAGTTAGATTTCATTTCTTTTATAATTGAAAATAATTTAAACTAATTAAAATCTTAGAAAGTATCATATTTTGTTGTTAAAATTTGTTATTTTTTTTGAAAATTTACATAAAATTTCTTTAAAAAGTTCTATTTTTTCAGTTTTGTTAAAAAAATAAATTTAGATATATAAGTCATTTTCTTTTGTTTTTAAAATAAAGATTTGGTTTGAATAAAATGATGTAATTTGATATTAATAATTCTGTGAGTACAGTTATAATGAATAAGTCAAGTTCTAAAAAGAATTGTTGTAATATAATTTGAAGAATTTTTGTTTTCTTTAAAAAGATGCAAGAAAGATTTTAAATATTGCATAATACATATATATAGACATATTGAGAGTGAGAAATAGTGACAGTTGGTGTAAAATTAGTATTAAATAAAGAAAAAGAATAGTGGAGTTAGAAAGTTAAGTTAAAAGTTGTTTAATAATAGAAGATTTAGATAAAATATCACTAATTTTTTCAAAGCATTTAGTAGAGATAATTAGAGATGTTTGCATATTAAAGAAACCAAAAGTAATAGATTAAGTAATTTTGTAATAGTGAGAGATAAAATTAGTATAGAATTAACCACATAGCATGTGCTAATAGTCAGTTGAATAAGAACTTTAAAATAATATTGTTTTCTTTTAAGACTTTCATATTAATTAGAATTAACATTTGGTAGAAGAACACAAAGTAATTTGGAAATTTTTCATTCATGTTAAGTCTATAACGGCCTCTGTATTTAGAGTAATAATAACTATATTATAGAATTCTAGTTCAATTATTGTAAGAGTAGACATTTTTTAAATTTTTTGTTAAGTAAAAAAATAAATAAAAAATTTATAAGTATTTACTTTTGCAAGAGTAGTAAATAAATACAGAGGTTTTAGTATAAGGTTTAACTTAATATAAGTCTGTATAATTTTATATAATAAGGTATTACAAAATTATAATTTATAATAACTAGAATAGTGAATATAATTCCTCTGTAGAACATATTAATGCAGCCACCACTTCTAAGATTATAATGTCTTCCACTTTTTGTGAACCATTTTTAGAAAAGAATAATGTAAATAGACAGGTGGAAAAGTCTATTTACATAGAGAACCAAGTTTATAACAGCCAGACTCAATGTACAGAGCAGGCTATGGAACTCTTCACAGTTGTAAGAGCCAAGCATATGGTGATCGAATCTACAGAGGAACTTGCTACTTCCTTGAATCCTATTGCATCATTACATTTCAAAGAAACATCACAAGACCCATCATACAATACATTAGTCGATTCAAACTCATGCTATAATAAATGGCTAGCCCATCAAGGCCTACCCTTACTTTCATATCAGCAAACTCTTTATTCCTTTCTTGAACATATTCATCTTTACAATTACATATCACTTAATCTTTACAACTTTACACTGGCAATATAAATTAAACTAGACTATAGTGAGTGCTTAATACAGTTATCAAATGAACCAGAACCTTTATCTGACCACTTTATCCCACAATGATCTGGTTATGGATTCTATCCATCAATATCTATTTCTTCAAAATATTCCCCAATATTTAATAACACACAATATACCAAACCTGTTCTTGAAGATAATGCTGTAAATTACACTTATCCACAGCTAGTAGAAACTGTTCTATCTGGCTATGATGATACTGTCATTGCCAACGAACACTATGGCTCTATACAACTTTATACATGCTATAATAAATTCCTAGCCTATAACCATCTTCTACTACTACCACATCTACAAATAATTGTCTTTTTCTTACAATATATTTATAGTTTTGATTACTTACCAAGTAATGCCTGTGATTATATCTTAACTATTTCTATTAAAAATGATTATAGTGAAGCCTATGTTTACCTTTTATGTGAACCTAAACCTTTACCTAATCATTTTATACCACTACTCCAAGCTATTAAACATTATCCAAACATCTTACTAAAATCAAATACAACACAAGATAATTCTCTTAATTTAACAAACTCATATGCAACAATATTTACACCAAACTCATTATCTCTTACATCCTCAATATCAATACAACAAACTTTATCTCCTTCTATTCCTTTATCACTACTCTCAACCTTACCACTATACTTATCCCAAACTCCTATACCTATACAAAACCTGCGAGACCTTTATTTAAACATTGCAACACATAATGTTCAAGAATTTAACACAATAACCAAAAAAGAAACATGGCAAAACTACTGTCTTTACAATAACATTAATATTGCCTGTATCAAGAAACAAAAATCGCCAATACTACAAACCTTCATTTTTGCAACAATAATCTGTTTATCTATTTTTGGGCAAACTCTAAGAATTCTGCAGAAGATGCTGCTATTATGATCTGCAACTACCTTCAACCACATGTATACAACTGTTAAATACATGCTAAAGAAGTAGTAGCTTTAGACCTCTTTTTTAAAAGTAAAATTAAACTCTGTATTATAGCAGTTTATCTCTCCTTCACTAATATACATCGACACAACAAAACACAAGAAACAGTTATTTTATAGATTCAACAAGCCTACCAACTCAACCTCCATCCAATAATTCTTGGTGACTTTAATACACATGATGATATTTGTAGCTCATCATCTAAATTTCGACTAACTAACTACTTACATCAAAACAACATGTATGATTTTGTGGCACATGTTGATAACAAACATTATATATAGTCAAACAACACTAGTCAAAGCTGCATTGACTACATATAGACTGATTCATTTAATTTACAGTTTTTTATTTCATATAGTCTTGATGATAGTAGCTACTCTA